TGAGGTGATATGCATGTTAAAATGAAAATAAATCTTTATTAATTCATGTACTATGTGCAAGTTTTTTATAACTCAGATATGTGCGTGCGTTGTGTATGCATGTGATACGTATGTGTGTGTGTATTTGTGTGTATGTGCGTGTGTGTATGTGTGGGTGTATATTTATTTATTTATATTTTTATTCATTCAAAATAGCCCATTCATCCATTCATTCGCATTTCAATCAGCTGAACAAAACACGGCAATCTATCTTCAGGTTTCTTAATAATTATCCACCTTTTTACTGACACACACACACACATACATACAAACACACATACAAACATACATACAAGCATACATACAATCATACATACAAACATACGTACAAGCATACATAAATACTCACAAACATACCTACACACGCACACACATATCGTGGAGTACATCGTCGAATCGACGAATTGGGTCATCGGTGAGTCCTAGAATGAGCGAAGGTAGACCTTCTCCATTCCGAGCGTCGCAGAGCATCAACACAAAGAGCCTTGGGGTCTAGACCACATTTTTTTATATTTTCTTTAAGGCTGTCTTTGTATCTGCGTACGGGGCCATTTGCCAGTCTATTTCTCCACGCTAGTTGACCAAAAAAGACCTGCTTGTATCTGGCATACGCATAACGTGCCCTATCCAGCGAAACTGAGTTTGAAGCAGCAGCGATTCTACACCCATTCTAAAATATACATACATACAAACATACATACATTACCACAACTCCAAAAAATTAGCAATACTCTGAACATCTTTAATTACTGACTCATCCTATAACAATACATTCACACATTACATACATACTCCCATAAATGAATGGATAAAAGAAAGAGGGAATAAACAAATTCGATATTTTTAACGAATTGAAAACGAGTTCAGCGAATTTAAAATTTTATTTCAATTGTAAATTGAATTAAACATTAATTGTTAGTTGAAATCATTAAAATCAATCAATCCATCCAACCTATTCTATCGAGCGAGCCAATCAATCAGAGGATTGAATAATTTTCAACCGATCAAAATTTACTTAATTGATAGTCAACAAACTCATAATCGCCATCTACATGATCGTTTATTAATAGACAAAACTTCAAATGTTTCTTAAATTATAGAGGGTAGGACATCACTTTCGACCACAAAAGTAGTTTGCGCATCTATAGTGAAACGAGTTGTTCTTATTCACCGAGTTGCAGTTATTCTCAACGCACATGTACCAAACATCATGATAGCCACGCTTTCTTGCGTCACTGTAATACTTATCGAATTCTTCTTTCTCGAATCGATCCATCGGCATCCATTCTAGTCGGTTTCCATAACCGTATCGGTATTGTTGTTGTTGTTGCTGTTGTTGTTGCTGTTGTTGTTGTTGTTGCTGCTGCTGTTTCGGTGGAGCTATTTGTTGAAATAATTTTTTGATATGTTGCAATATGTTTGTGTTGTGTGGTACATAGTCGTATAGTTGTGGTTCATGTTGAACTATATCGTTGTTTTGTTGTTGTTGTTGTTGAAGATAATGTTGGAGATAGTTATAGTCCTGGGGTGTTGGTTCGGGAATGTTTGTTCCATGTAGGGCGATTTTAAGACGATTATTTGATCTTTGCTGCAAATCTTGAAGGAAATTATTATTTTTTTGTTGTAGTTGTTGCGTAATATGCGTGTAGTTGCCTCCAACCAAACGATCCAAACCTAAATATTTTTATTTTGTAACAATTCAATAAGATCTTAAATATTATACTACTACTGCTGCTGCTACTACTACTACAACTACTACTACTACTTTTACTACTACTACTATACAAAGCTTTTAATAAGAAAAAATAACTTTATCAGTATTAAAAGAATTGAAATATACTCAAGAAGACGGAACAAATTTGAGAATCATGCAAACATGTTTTAGAGGCCATTAGCATCAAAAGTAGTAGTAGCAGTAGCAATAGTTGTAGTAGTAGTAGTAACGACAGTAGTAGTAGTAGTAGTAGAAGTAGCCGCGGCAATGCTAGTTGTAGTAGTAGCAGCAGTAGTAGTAGCAGCAGTTGTAGTAGTAGTAGCAGCAGTAGTGATGGAAGTAACATTCATACTTCCTTTCTGGGCCGGCCATAGGTTTGTCTCTAATGGATTTTTACCTGATTTTTTAAGGTTGTTCATGTCATTGTTATTATTGTTGTGATTATTATTGTTGTTTTTATTGTTGTTCTTCTCGCGGTAAGATATATACGGTTGATGATGTTGTAGTTGATGCTGTTTCATCCCATATAGTTCGGCTTTTTGGTTCTTGTATTCATCATCAGCTTTATCATCGTCTTCATCATCATAGTCGTCATCATCATCATTATTATTGTTATTATTATTGTTGTTGTTATTGTTACTATCATCATCGTCGTCATTATCACTACCACTATTATTCGAAGTAGCGGTAGTTGTAGTAGCTACACCATCGTCACGATCATCATCATTATAGTTATAGCTTATATTA